TCTCTCTCTCTCTCTCTCTCTCTCTCTCTCTCTCTCTCTCTCTCTCTCTCTCTCTCTCTCTCTCTCTCTCTCTCTCTCTCTCCCCCTCCCCCCCCTTGCATTGCTCACTCTTACTTCGTGAATCAACTCCCCTCTCTCACTACCCTACTTGGCTATGGTGGACTTCTTCTTCCCGCTCTACCCTAGTTATGGATCCGATCACCCTCCTCCTCCTCCGTCAACCTCTGACTGTCTGACCCGTTGATCGCACAAGTGCAACAGCAGAGCTACTGCAACATGTGAATTGCTCTGCCGGCCCCAGTTGCTACCGTCTTCCCCTGAACACAATGCACCCTCATTTTGACTGTGTATCGGGCGGGAGACATACCTTGTATACATTGCGTTATGTTCGGGAAGAGATGGTAGTTTCGGAAGTCACAGCACTTTCCCAGGATGCTGCTGCCAGCACTGGACTTTGGGAGTTGGACTTTTTCTGTCGGGGAGCGGGACGGATTTCTACCGACCTACGACCTTTTGCTACCAGATCCTACCGGACTTCTACAGACCTCTAGGACCTTTGGAACTGGGACCAACTGGGACCCTTGGGACTGGGACCAAATGGAACTCTGGGACCGTGACTTGGGACACGGACACAGCGTGAAATCCTTTCAGTGGAATAATACGAAGTAAATATGCTATGCTATGCAGTACTGCGGTTATGTTACAGAGTCTGCCTGGCAAGATCTGCTTGGCAATACGCCTGCTAGTTCGGGCAAGGGGCACCCGGATCGAAGCCCTTTGTAAATCAAGCATACTTTCCTCACGTCAATGATTGTCGACTTAATAATGGACTATATGCAACCTATGGTTATAGTTACGATTATGTTTATGGTATCTTGGGGCCGTCGACTTATTGCTCTACCCTCCCCCCCCCCCAAAAAAAAAAAGCAGGCGGTACTTTTCTTGTTCATGATTATGGAATAAAACGGACTCTATGGTTGTGGTAAACAGCAGGCGTACTTTTCTTGTTCATGATTATGGAATAAAACGGACTCTATAGCTGATGTCTGTCTTTCTGTTGCGTGGGTAGTGGAAGTCAGGTGGTGTCCATCACATGCACCTTTTATTTCTTTCTTCTGGGATCCTATTATAATTCTCCCCACCAATAGATGGAGCCTCCCCGGGAAAGCTTGAGGCGTTTGCGTACCAGCACCTCAAGCTATTTCCGGGGCTGTTGTTCTTGAAAGGCATTCCACGATGCAGACCCCAAATTCGAGTTTCAGGGTCAAGGTCTCAGGCCAAGGGAGGCCAAGTCGGCTAGTTCAGAAAGGTCACAGTCGGGTACCTTAGGAGTCGAGTCCAACAGGCACCCGGTGAACAGTCACATCCCAGAGGCAAAGGTTGCGTTCTATAAGCAAAAGTCACATCTCATATTGAAAAGTCATATCCCACAGGCAAAGGACACTTCGCTAGGCAAAGGTTGTGTCCCAGAGGCTAGAGTCACATCCCACAGTCTAAAGTCATGTTCCACAGATGAAAAGTCGTGACTCCCAGACCCAAGCAGCAGCACACCAATGACAATTCGGGAAAGTACCAGGCCTTGTCATTCTGAAGCAAGCAGGCCGTGGGCACGTGGTACCGGGTCCAAGTCAAGCCAACTGAAGCAGAGGCTGGGACGAGTTCAGGCTCAGTCCAAGTCAATATAAGGACTGGCCAGCCACATTTCAGGAAGAATGCTCATCCGTGAGAAGTGTGGAAGTGGTGCTGAAGCGCTTGTGCGCTATCTGCGAGTAGCATGCGCACGAGAGCCCTGCTGGGCAGCACTGCACTGAGAGGGAAGGCAGCCATAGCCGCATAGCTAGTAATAGGAGATAGAGCTGAGTAGCAGCGGATGCATTCCGAGTCAAGATTGTCAAGTATATATATATATATATATATATATATATATATATATATATAGAGAGAGAGAGAGAGAGAGAGAGAGAGAGCATGACGAAGACAGACACAGAGAGAGAGAGAGAGAGAGAGAGAGAG